AGGCTTGTTATAACTATATCTTTCTGTTGTCTGTCTGGAGCAAGTATAGGTAATGAAGGGTTGTTTATGTATGTTCGTTTGCTCAGAATTTTTTTTGAACAGAACTTATCGGGATTACTAAATGTCGAGAACGTATTTCAGATATTTAATTGCTCATAAAAAATTAACATGATTTAAAACGTGTCCGTACGTATATCGTAAAGAATAAAATTCTGGCTTTGCATGATGAGTAACGATCAGATCAAATTACATTTCATATTTCGGTAGCCCACAAACCAAAAGCATGATTATTATTACGACAGCTTTATACCAACACCATCATTCTTATCTTGCTTAACTATAGGTGCTCCTAAGATAGTCGCACCGTATCCAGATAATCTGTACGCTATTGAAAAGGAAAAGGCAAAAGTTACCTGCGTAGTCGAAGACACAGTTTCCAATCCAGATGAGATAGTATTTGTGAGCAAGAGTCGTTTTGGTGACGTTAAACCCATAAGAGATGAAGGACCTGATGGACGCATCTATTATCAAAATGAAACCTTGGGTTAGTGATATAATGAAAGCTGTCGTGTCAAGAAAAGAAACATCACACTGTTACATCACGCGAGAGTAACACCACACCACACTGTGGTAACATCACGCGAGAGTAACACCACACCGCACTGTGGTTACATCACGCAAGAGTAACTGACACCACATCGCACTGTGGTTATGTCGCGCATCGCTAACACCAAACTGTGGTATATCACGCATGTAAAAGTAACACCATACTTCATATGTCTACATCACACGACATTCACACTGTGGTTACACCACGCAAAACTAATAAAGGTGCGCAACACTGTTGCATAGGAAAATGCAAAGCAAATTTTGCTGGTATTGCCACTCCGCGTGAAACATGTTATCATTGGTGCGCTAAATAGATACTCTTTACTCAATAATATTTTGTTTTACACAACAGTGTGGTGTGAATAGTTGCGCGATTTTGCCCTAGTGCCGCACCTTAAGACAACACTGCGATTTGATGAACCAATACCAAGAGTTTATTCAAACAACAGTTGATAGACATAAAAGTACTGAGCAGAGAGATTATGGGTTGTTTCTGATATTTCTAGATGGCGGAAGAAAGCTACGTGTGACTCTGCATTTCAATGAAGTCATAATGAATGATGTTTCAAGATATGGCGGTTATGAATGCCAAGGACACACAGGAGGTAGTCAACATGAATATGGATTCACTGTCACTGTTATTGAGAGTAAGTACTTCTCAATTCTCATCGAATCACAACCTGGCAAGAACCAAATCATGACGGATCGTTACATTTTTACCCACAGGAAGCGAGATCCCTGAAGTTCACGCCTCTGGTAATGTAACAGCAAAGTTTGGGGAGCGAATTCAACTCAGCTGTAATGTCACCGTTGCTAACAAAGGCCCGTTAATGACAACCATCGGCAAGTTTACCTGGGCAAAAGATGGAAGGGTTGTAATCGCAAGTTATTGTCCCCATTTCTCATCAATTAAACCTTTGGTTTTGAACGTAAGCCTAGCTGATGTGGGTGGTACATATTCTTGTTACTTGGAGTACCTGCTGAGAGGAATTAGAAAGAGAAATATCACGAAAACTATTATCGTAAGAGGTCAGTTCAATTACTCATATGGGTACTGATACATTGCTGTAGAAAACATCGGTATAAAAAACTTACAGCAACATGATCGTTACTGGAATTATTTCTTTAGTTCAGCCTAGATTTTCCCCTGAAAAGAAAGAAGAAAAGAACGTGAATCGGCTTGTGTGCGCTGCTCAGGGAAATCCACTGGTGACCGAATGGAAAAGAAAAAACCTGCTCAACGATGACATCTGAGTCATTCATACTAAAGGTATGGATAGATGAATGGATGGATAGATGGGATAGAAGGGATGGGGTTGGATTGGAGTATGGATGGATAGATGAGATGGATGGATGGTGGGTAGGTTGGTGTATAGATGGCTAGATGGGATGGATGGATGTGGATGGATGGATGGATAGGATGGGATGGATATAGACTTGTCCCAAGTCGACCTCTCTTGTTTTCTCGGCGTTTTTTTAATTCGAGCGAAGCGAGAATCTTGCGAGCGCAGCGAGCGAGCGACGAAGTCGCGAGAGGTCGACTTGTCGAACTTGCAGGATATTCATTTGCGTTTCCCGCCATTTCCGAATTTGATACGGGAGGGTCGGCTTTCGGGGGCGGAGCTAAAGAATTGTGGTTTTCATTTATTTGTTTCTTCATGTTATATCCGGAGCAGCAAAACATGTTTTATCAATAATAATGGTTGATGCTATAACTCCAACTAAAACTGTCGAAAGGATAGCGATATCTCCTGCGTCCAAACAAAAAATATGCTTTCTTTGCGCCAGTCAAGTTCCGAACAATGACTATAGACGGAAATTGTTTAGTCGTCTCCAACATAGGAAGCAGAGATCCCCTTTGATTTTAAAGACGTTACTTGGTCTTTCATTAAGGAGACCAAAGGGACAACAACAACAACAGTCTCGATTAAGTTATTCTCACTGAACCTCATAAAATCTAAGGCGAATGGAGCGATCTCAAATGTCAGGCTTGTTCCCGCTCCTGTAGGTGCAGATATAAAAATATCTCTGCCTGAAAGATACGCTTCTATACTTTGTTTCAGGTATTCTCTTATAGTTTCGTATCCTAATTTACTTTTACCCTATGATATGGCCTCAGATATTGATCTCCTGTTGTCAGACAGATGTTGTGTTGACAGATGCCGATGGGAATCGTAGAGATAATCTTACTAATCTTACTAATCTTACATTGTGATTGACAGCTTGGATTTCGAGCATTGTGATTGGCTATAATTTACCGACTGATTTTTGGGTCGGTAAATTTAGCGGGAAGCAAGGTCGAAAAGTCCGTCGTGCGCCCAGTAAAAAAAAAACAAAGCGGGCGGCGGACTTTGCGAAAGTCTAGGATGGATAGGATGGGATGGATGGTGCGTCAGTGGGTTGGTGGGTGGATGCGTGGGTGAATAAGTAGATATTTTTATAGTTCTTTTTTTCAAGAACTCTCGGAAACGTCTGTGGAATCATAGAAAGTGTAGTTCGATAGATACTAGTACGGTTTTGGATGGAAAAATCAAACATTTTGTTTTTCATTCCTAAGAGTATAACGCATTGTTTTCTCTCATTATTATCAGATAACTCATCCAAAGGAAAGTACGTTTTTTCTAACATGGATGGCTTCAAGGATCACACCTTGACCATCYATGACGTACAACCTAAAGACGCCGGCCAGTATTATTGCTGCATCAAGAACATCACAAGTCCCAGACCCCCCGAAGATATTAGTRACTGTCAGATCTTTGAAGTCCAACCCCAACCCCTACTCCAAACCCAGCYCCCATCCYCACYCACTACCCCACCTCCAGGTCAGTATCAGTAGTCAGTTATCGATTATCACGTGACATGAACTGCTTTTATCTTTATTTCCCTTTTACAAATTTACTTGATTTTCCGTCTCAGCAGGTTCTGTAGTTGGCAAAGCAAGTCTCACGTTTTCCATCATTCTCCTCGAGCTGCTGCTGAATTGGTTGCTGTAATGATCACGTGACTACTCCACCAGGTCACGTGAGGGCTGAGGATGGAAGTGTATCCATCATTTGACCAAAGCCTTCCTTGTCAATAAGATAAAGTGCACTCTTATTCTTAGTGCTGAATGGTATTGAATGCCTTCATTGTACTAGGGTAGAATGGGTGGCCTCCCACCACTGTGGTCCGGGTTCGATCCCAGGCTCAGACTGGATATTAAGTGAGTTGAGTTTGTTTGATGTGTTGTTCTCTCTCTTGCCACGAGGGTTTTCTTCGGGATCTCCAGTTTCTTCCCTTCGTAAAAAGCAATATGTGAGTTGAGTGTTGTATATTGTAAATATAGAATGTAGTGGTAATGCGTGTGGAGGGAACCTCACGGAAGAGCCCCGCATGGGGAGTGGTGGTTGTAAAATATAATTTAATCTAATTTATATAATATAGTTAACAGTAATATACTGTTTTATTACTCGGGCTTTCGAAGAAATGCCCGAGGTATAAATTGGGCTTCGTTATTTTTTTTCTTCAGTCACAAATCGCCCTCGAAGCCCTAAGGCGCATGCGTCAAATCAAAGTCTATGCGCATGCGTAGAATCAACCATGAGCACATGCTTAAGTAATGGCGGATATGGGGAAGGACTCGTCGCTGTTTCAAGTAATGAATAATATGGAGTCTTACACCCTCAACATTTTTAGCACGCGTGATTTTGCACAGACTTTGCACCATCTAAAAGGGTGACAATGTTCACGAAGAATTCTTTCGATTTTCTGCTATGAAGCCCGAGTTCACGCAGATATGCATCTAGTCTTACTTTATTCTGTAAACAAAATGAACATGTTTGAGTTTTCATTTGTGTACTCCAACAAAACAATAAAATGGGAAAAGATCTTAGCTCGTGTGATCTTTTAGCTCGTAATAMTAGTCTTTTGAAAACCATCCCTTCTCAGGTGAGCAAGCGTTACTTGGCGGACTATATTTCAGTAGTATCGCACYGACCCAGGAATCTTGTCTCAACAGGTGATTTGCATGTGATGTGAAAGCAAAGACCACAAGATGACTCATGATATAGTCTCAAGTATAGTTTTATTAATGATATTGAGTAGTAGTAAAGGGGGGGGTTCTGGCACAATTTTGTCCTGGGATAAAATTATGGGATTATATGACTGGATTATATGCTTGGATTCTATGCTTGGATTCTATGCTTGGTTTCCAAATTCTAGGAAATTTTTAAACAACATTGTTATATTGCGTGACATCATTTGGACAAGTCTAGACATGTCTAATGGTATGAGATTCCAGATGCGTTTACTCTTTACAAAAAAAATATATCTATAAGTATATAAAGAGATGACACATCATAAAATTATAATGTCAGGGGAAAAAATATCAAAATATAATCTTGAAACACCGGATGTTTTTCATCTATCGGAGGATCGCGGGTTGCATAACTCTTACCTAGGCAGGGATTATATTTACCATCATGTTAAAGTGGATGAGGATAAAGATATTGTATCAGATTCGGATGAATATCTTAATCTTGATGCGGTAATGAACCCAAGGTACTCAGTCCCACGAAAAAACTACTCGTCGGTGGTTGATCATGTGTCTAAAGAGCATATTAAGACGTTCAAGGCACATGTGGAAGCTTTAAAGAAGAAAGCACCCATACGAAAAAAGGCGTCGATAATGAAGGGGTTTCTAAAATCTTACAGAATAAAGGGTGAGAATAAGATAGACCCTAAATCGTTTCTACAAAAATATAAGAACGATGTTATTGTGATGGTTAAGAAACAAAAAAAGCCGATTAAGATCAAGCTACTGTTAGAGTGTGAATTTTATAAAAAGCAGCATTCCACAGAAGCGGTTTACACATACGGATATTTCCACAGCAATATGGAGATTATTACACAAGCAACGGATATCGGAGATGTTTGTGAAACGATGATTGGAGATATATTAGAAAAGGTAAGCAATTTCCAAAAAAGTGGGTCAGGTTGGATATTTAGCAAAGTGGAAAACTTAGATATTCATATCGATAAATACCAACCTATAGCAGCAAAATCATGGATTGAACTACCACTGAAGCTCAAGTTGAAGAAGGCTATTGTTAACCCTGAAAATGAGGATAATCAATGTTTCAAGTGGGCAGTGACAACAGCCGTATATCCAGCAGAGAGAAACCCACATAGAATTTCAAAGATTTTAAAATCAAACGCTGGAAAATTCAACTGGGAGGGTATTGAATTCCCTGTCCAAGTGGATAAGATAAGTAAGTTCGAAAATAAGAATCCAAAGTATGGGGTCAACGTATACGGGTATAGAAATGGTCAAGTATATCCGATTAGAATAAGTGGAACTGTGAAAGCAGAGAACAAACGATTAATCTGCTTATGATCTCAAATAATAAGACAAATCACTATTGTTGGATAAAGAATATTAGCAGACTGTTAACCTCACAGGTCACAAAACACAAGGAAAGTAGATATTATTGTGAAAGGTGTCTCAACTCGTTTAAAACGAAAGAGGTCCTAGACAAACACTCAGAATATTGTAAGAATCATGATGCGGTTAAGATAACATTACCAAAAGAGGGAACTACACTATCGTTTAAAAACTATAACCACTCTATGCGGGTACCTTTTGTCATTTATGCAGACTTCGAATGTTTCACTAAGGGTATATCAACATGTCAACCAAAAGATACGAAATCATACACCCAACAATATCAAATGCATAAACCATCTGGTTACTGTTTTATGGTAAAATGTTATGATGATAATCTATATGAACCAAAAATATTCAGATATACTGCTAAGTCAGAGGATGAGGATATAGGACAAAAATTTGTGGAATCAATAGAAAAGACAGTTAGAAGTATATATATGAAATATCATTACAACAAGAAGGTGAAACTGACAGATAAGGATAATACGGATCATAAAAAGGCTACCCACTGTCATATCTGTGAGCAGGAATTAAATGGTGACAAGGTATTAGATCATGACCATCTTACAGGTAAATATCGAGGGGCTGCACATAACGATTGTAATTTGAATTACAAGACACCTAAGCATATACCGGTAATATTTCATAATTTATCAGGCTATGACTCACATCTATTTATAAAAAATCTAGGTGTTACACGAGGTAAAATAGATTGTATCCCAAACAATGAGGAGAAATATATCAGTTTCAAAAAGGAAATAATAGTAGATACATTTGAAAACAAGAAAGGTAAGATAAGTAATGTGAAACGAGAGATAAGATTCATTGACAGTTTCAAATTTATGGCTTCATCGTTGGATTCACTAGTTGGTAATCTAGAGAAGGTCCAATGTAGGAATATGAATATGTTCTACAAAGGTAAGAAGCTTAACCTATTACTTAGAAAAGGTGTATATCCATATGATTATGTAAATTCATTGGATAAATTAAATGAAACATCTCTACCTCCGATAGAAGCGTTTTTTAACAAGTTGAATAATACACCAACACCCATCACTGATTATAAACATGCTCAGGAAGTATGGAATGTCTTTAAAATTAAAACCATGCGTGAGTACCACAATCTGTATCTTGAGAGTGATGTCATCCTATTGGCAGATGTTTTTGAGACATTCAGGGATGTATGTATGGAAAATTATAAACTAGACCCAGCATGGTATTACACAGCTCCAGGGCTCAGTTGGGACGCTATGTTGAAAAAGACGAAGGTTAGTCTAGAACTATTAACCGATCCTGATATGTTGCTTATGGTAGAGTCTGGTATTCGAGGTGGAATCTCGATGATTAGTAAACGTTATTCAAAAGCTAACAACAAATATATGAGAGAATTTGATAAGAAGAAAAAGTCCAAATTCATCAAATACCTTGACGCTAATAATTTATACGGATGGTCAATGAGTCAGAAACTACCTACACATGGGTTTAAATGGATGAATAAGCTAGAGATTAAGAGTTGGAATAAGCTTCCATGCATCCTAGAAGTAGATTTAGAGTATCCAGTTGAATTGCATAACTTGCATAACGAGTACCCTATAGCACCTGAGAGACTAATGATTAACAAAGTGGAAAAACTTATTCCTAACCTATGTGATAAGACAAAATATGTTATCCATCATGAGACGCTGAAATTGTATGAAAGCCTTGGATTGAAAATAACAAAAATACGCAGAGGTATTACATTTCAGGAATCCGAGTGGTTGAAACCATATATTAGTCTCAACACAGAACTCCGGACAAAGGCTAAAARYGATTTCGARAAARACTTTTTCAAACTGATGAACAATAGCGTGTTCGGAAAGACAATGGAGAACATCCGTAATAGGCAAGATATTAAACTAGTAACAAATGAATCCCAAGCAGCAAAATTAATTAATAAACCAAACTATATGAAACGCACAATATTCTCTGAAAATTTAGCATCCGTACACATGGGTAAAACAGAATTAGTTTTCAACAAACCTATATACGTAGGTATGAGTATCTTAGACCTATCAAAGAAACTTATGTATGACTTCCATTATATATATATTAAACCAAAGTATGGAGAAAAGGCAAAACTATTATTCACAGATACTGATAGTCTAATGTATGAGATAGTGACAGAGGATTTTTATAAAGATATTGAGAAAGATATTGAGGATAAATTCGATACGAGTAATTATCCAGTAGACCATAATGGAATCAAAATAGGATTAACAAAAAAGTTATTGGAATGATGAAAGATGAAACAGCAGGAATAGAAATAACAGAATTCATAGGCCTTAGAGCAAAACTATATGCATATAAGACAGATGATGATGAAGTTGGAAAACGGTGCAAGGGTGTCAAAAAGTCAGTTGTGAAAGAGACAATATCATCCGGTGATTATAAAAAATGCTTATTCAAAGGTAAGCAGCAAATGAGAAAGATGAATGTTATCAGAAGTCATAAACATCAGATATACACAGAAACGGTAAATAAAGTGGCGTTATCAAGTGAAGATGACAAACGGGATATCGATCCGGATTGTATTAATACTAAGGCTATAGGCTATAGAGATATTAATGAATGACTATATGATCATCAAGAAGGTGAATTCATAAAACGTTATCAGAGAAGTATTGATCATTATGATAGAATAGCATCACAAAAGTAGTTATTTCAAAACACTATCAGGTGGTAGGTGTGTGTCTTCAGGGACGACTTGTAATTCCTCTCTAACAAAATTACGTTTTGGGGCTCCTTTAGAGAGGTAATATAAGACAGGTTGATTAGCTGACACGACAGTTCTGGTTATATCGTACGTATCTAACGACCAAATAGGGTCTGTAGCTCTTTGAGCTCCACCTTCCAACTCACCAGGAGCATATAAGTATCTAACTTTCACACCTGCTGGTAATCTTTCTTCTACTAATCCAACAGGTCTTTTATAGTTCACATGGTTTTCATGCAATTCTTTCAATTTTATAGCATCAATCGGTGTTTTACCGGTTATTCTTTTTACTCCACTGTTTATACTTCGTATGACAGCTGGCAGCCTTTCAACCCATTCACGGGATCTTTCATTTTCTTCCATAATCATTTCTTGGGCATACTGGTGGCTAAAGAGTTTCTCAGCAATGGTTCGATTAGCGCGCTCGACCAGTGCTTGGGCTCTATGGTTATTAGCTTCCGATCTTTGTACAAAGATTCCTTTTTTATTCATTATTTTCGTAACTTCACCCATGAATTCAGTACCTGGATCTACGATTATTGATTCAGGCCATTTTAAACGCCTGGAATATATCTTTTCAAACCCTATGGATACTTCTGTTGAGTACTTAGACGTCAAAGGCTCAGCATCTATGTATCTACTTGCAATGTCAACAACCACGAGTGAATATTTGTATAACTTTCTTCTTACTCTATCGTGGGGCAAGAATAATAAGTCTGCTTGATGTATCTGGTTCACTTTTTCAACATCCCAATGGTATCTAGGTATGTATTTAGGAGCTGGTAAGTATATCTGCCACAATGCTTGTTTTTCCAACCATTCTTTTACAATACTTTTATCAATATTAGTGGAATTTGATARTTTATYGATAGCYTCATAWCCCTTCCAATARCCTTGAGGACTATAATAATGGTTTGATAGTTTTTTGTTATCCATATATAAAATTATATAAAACAATAATTGTATAAGTATTATATATGCAAGACCGGCACACCTGTGCCATTACGTCATGATACTAACACACCTGATTATTGATTTAAAATGAATCAATATTTGGTTCATTTTAAACTATGATGGAATTGGTTATTCTATGTTATTCAAGGCTTCGGTATTCCTAATATGTTTCTTTGTCTTAATATGACTCCATTTCCCAGCTAATGTGTAATTCCGATCCCCACATACATGACATATCCATTCTTTATTAACCATGTACTTAGTCTTGCTTCGCGTAATCGCTTGCTTTCTCTCTTCTTCGCTTAAATACTTGATTGGTGTATGAATATTTTTTGGTCTTACCATTATATATATATATAACATATATAAAAGATATTTTAATGTGTTTTTATAGTATGTTTAATCATAATAAACATCTAATATATAGATCGGTAACAATATCTAAAAATAGATACTTTATCCATTATAAAAATAAATTTGTTACCTTTCCATTCACTCTCTCTATTTGAGTATATTTATATAGTGTGTTTAAAACCATTATTATAGCTCGCAAGGTTAATGGTTTTAAACGCACTATATAAATATACATAAGAAAATAATAATTATATATAGTATACAAATGAATAGCGAAGATATACACATGTGTGAGGGGAAAGGGTGTTCTATGAGAGCTAAGTATTTTATCGAGAGTTGTCTAAATGAAAGGATTGCGTACATATGTGAAAAATGTACTGGATATGACTGGATTGATTATATTCACGAGGATTTACTAGAGTCATGCGACTCTGATTGCGAAACGGACTGTCGAGATGATAGGGATATCTGCTCATGTTCATATAATGAAAAGTATAAAGGCAATTGTAAATTTTGTGGTGCCTCCTATAATCATCTTGGATCTAGTTACATAGTAGACTCGATAGATTTGGAGTTATGCGGAGATTGTTATAATATTAGAGAAATACCAACTGAAGAGAATGAAGAAGCTTTGAAGCAAAAAAATAAATTAAATGAACAAAAAAGTAAACATAAAAATAAAATAAATGAACTCGATATACAAATCGATGAACTCAATAAACAAAAAAATGAACTTGATAAACAAAAAAATGAACTTGATAAACAAATCAATGAAGCGGTTACACAGAAAAAGGAACTTGTTGAACAAATCGACGAAGCTGTTGAACAAATCTATACATCATTAATTAGGAAGTCAATGACGTAATGGTTTGATAGTTTTTATTTACCCGTAAATAAAATTATATAAAACGATAATAATATAAGTATTATATATAGAATGACAAGTATTTCAGACAAACTGGATGTAAATAGAGCTTACAAACAACCTTTTGGACTAAAAGCTGAGAAGACAGTTCATCGTGTGACATTTAATCCAAGTTCAGCAAATCCAGGGGAAACATTATATATTCACATACCAAAGCTAACTGATAACGTCGTATATGTTCCTGGTTCATTAGGGCTACTTTTTAAACTCAAAATGGCTACAGGTGGACATGCGAATAACACAGTTGTTAATAATTTGGGTAGGGCTCTAAAATCACGTATGAGGGTCTTATATGGTGGTGAGACTTTGCAAGATACACAACGGATTGATTTGTATCAAACGTATAATGATTTATTCATGTTGAAAAGGGAACGCGAAAGCATGCTGAGAAAAGGAGTCTCATCAGAGAACATGAGAAAGCTAAGAACTAGTGCAGGTGATAAGGTGACTACGAATTTAAAAGAGGTTGCACTATCTGGGTTATATGGTGATAGATATCGATTACCAATCGATCATCCAATTCTCGACTCACATGGTGTCTTCTACGCGAAAGCACTATCCAACAACCTTACATTTGAGATTACACTCCCAGAAAGTGAAAAGATTGTTATTACGAGTGAAACAGATGATCCGTATAATTACAGTCTTTCAAATATCGAGCTTGAATATGAGTGTGTCAATAGTGATTATCTCGCACGGGAAGCCCTTTCAGCTTACCAGGTTGGTAAAGGTTTCTATTATGAAAATGTACTGCTGCATAAGACGTTTACGATTAATAAGGCTACTGACTCTGTGATCAATGAACATGTTAACATACCACGTCGATCAATGAGTGGTATCCTTTGTCTATTTATAGAACCATATGTTGTAGGCACGAGAGATAGTGAAAAATTCGTAAACCCAAATATTACACAAGTTGATATTAATGTTGATGGTATGCCTAATAAACTTTACAGTAAGGGGATGTTGCAAACGGATTTTTGGAATTCGATTAGATCAAGACTTGGTGATACTCATAATATAACACAAGAAGATTTTTATTATGATAAATTTGCCTTATGGATTGATTTACGTACTTTTCCAGAAAATCAAATCCATGGGAACGGCCTCGTTTTGAATAACACTAAAGACGGAGTAAAACTAGAAATGAAGAGAACAACAGGTGGATCAGGAAATATTACATGTTATATGTATGTTGTAGCTGATGCTTTGATGGAAATCGAAGATAGTAGTCTAAAATCTATAATGTATTAAAAGTTTAATAATATTATTATTATTATTATATAATGGAGGAACTAAAGAACAAAACACCATTTAACTGTATTATAACAGGTCCAACAAACTGTGGAAAGACACAATTCCTAGTTAGTACTCTACGACATGGGTATATACGTGTTTTTGAATATATAGTACTCCATTTGCCCCACATATTCGAGAAATAAGACATATCATGGTTTTGCTCATAATGATCCTAGGTTTATCGTTTTGTCACCTGATGCTGACAGCATTGATGAAATAAATGATATATTATCATATTGTAAGGAGGTGTTCTCTGGGTTTGAGACATTAATAATACTAGATGATTATGCTTTTAGTAAAGATCTTAAGCAGAGGTCGAATAAGTTTATCGACTTAGCTTTTTCAGGGAGGCATGAACAAATATCTGTATGGGTATTAACTCAAGACCTAAAAGCAATAGCTAAACCGTTTCGTGAAAACGTAGCATGCATTGTCGCATTTCATAGCCCTAATAAAATGTCGAATCAGATTATGTTTGATGAATATGGAGGAGATATCGATTTAGAAGAAAGAAAAGAACTAATGAATTTATTAAAGAAAAATAGATATGCTAGAATTTGTTTTTGTTTAAGGTATCCGTTCAATTATCATTTAGAGATTCCTAGCGTATTCATATAAGAAAATAATTATATTATTATATAATTATATAATAATATGGAATCTATCCTTGATCAGTATAACGATGATGTAAACAAATTAGAAACTATACCAGAGGAGACAGCTGAGGAAATAGTAGAAAAGAAACCCAAGAGAAGGTCACTAGTAAAGAAGAATGATAACCATGAAATAGAAGAAAAAAGAGAGCAATTGTCAATACTAGCAGTATTAGGAACTATCGAAAATTATACTGGAGTCAAAATGAGTCTAGGAGATGTTAAAAAATTACCAGCGAAAGAGGTTGATAAGTACTATAACCGATATCAGGTAATTATGGGTAATAATGTTACGAATGGTCTAGTTGATACAGCTTTGGAAACAGGTGTTGAATTAGT